TAAATACTAGCTTTAATGACAGCCCCACTTTGCGCATGCGCATTAAAATCCAATACCTGCGCATGCTCGTCAAACATCCAATACGTATTGGATCTGATCCAGCTACGTCATCGTGCTACAGGCTGCAGCGAGGACACACTCCCCCAGAGCCCCTCAAGGCTCCACTCTGGCTCCTCCCTCCATTCTGCTTACCACCCCCTTTGTTTACCTTTGCCCCCTTCAACCTTCAAATGACTTCCCAGCTGTCTTTTATAGTGTTTCACACCAATTCTTTAAATCTGTAGCTTGAACTATGAAATTATTAATTGAATATTTGCAATTAAAGGACACAGGAAACACTTTCTTTTTGTAGTATCACCATTCTACCACTAGATTCTCTGCATAAGCATGCTTAGAGTTGTGACGTGACATGTGGCCAAGTATGGTTACCCATACTAGGAATTAGTGCTCTGCATTTAACCCATCCTTAGTGTGCGTACGCGCGTCAAATGAACACCCCCCTCCCCCCCCAAAAAAAAAACACACAAACACACGATGCCACCATAATTGTGGTCAAGGTTTGCTTTAGTTGGGCTCTTGACCCTTATACTAATTCAAAGCAATTTGCTTCTAAGTGATTGCAGTGTTGTTTCACAGCAAACATTTGTGCATTTGCTGAATTAAACCTTGAAGTAGCAGATGAGCTTGGACTATCTGCCTATAATTCATGATGAATGAACATCATAAAGTGGTCTCTCTTTGGTTTTTTGACTGACACTCAGATATTACTGAACTGTGCAAAAAGAAAAAAAATCCCACTAAACAAATGCCTCCATAATGCTTCAATTTTGGAAAAAAAAGAAAACCAAAGCACTCAGGCTTTTAGACATGAACACTTATCATATGATCCTCAACAGTGGTGACAATAATTATTCATACTGCAGTGCATGATAGGAGTTTTTACTATGATGTTACACATGAAGCATTTTGTTGATTGTCACCATTGTTGAGATTCATATGCTGGTTCTTGATGTCTGTGTGTGTTTGGCTAGCCCTGGAGATAAATTTTTTACATGCATTACAAAGATTAAAAATTCAGTTAGAGTAGCACTTTGTTTTACATGCTGTAGTTTAAAAAGAAAGATCTAACACAAAAATCAAGGGTCAAGAGCCCAACTAAAGCAAACACTGATCTCCATGATGGTGCAATCATTTTAACCAATAAAACATCAACATCTGATACTCTGTAATTCTCAATAACAGCAGGTGTTCATCACTAATGCACAACCATCATTTAATTAGTCACTTAATTATCTCATCAACTTTAACTCTTTGAGGACTTGCTTGTGACTTGTCCAAGTCAAAAGTCCCAACTCTGGTTGATTTCATCCAAGGCTGTGGCTGAAGTCAGACGTAGTTCTTGTGTTTCTCTTTTCTTCAATGATGTTGATTGTTAACAGCAGCTGTTCATCGCTAATGCTCAATCATCATTTAATTAGTCACTTAATTATCGCATTAACTTTAACTCTGAGAACTTGGGATATGACTTGAAGTGTGTGACTTGAAAGTCCCACCTCTGCTATATAGCACCTTTGTCAAATGGTGCCATGTAGAACCATAAGAGCCAATATACCAATATAGCCACTTAGCACTATATAGCAATATAGTGCTATAAACCAATATAGCACTTTTTCTCAACAATGGTGCACCAATCATAACTCATCCATGGCTCCCAGCATGCATTGCGACATGAATAAATTATGCAGCTGTATTGTCTTAGTATTTTCTTTTATTTTTGTTGTGACTTTTTACTGCCCTGTTATGTGATGTTCAAAAATCATATCAAAATTATCAGAATATTTTGTCACCATTGCTGAGATTCACATGCTGATTCTTCAGGTCTATGAGTGATGAAAGTGGAGTGTTTATTATCCCATAATTCTAAAACTGGTTTATATAATTTTCTCATATTGTCACATAGTGTCGTAGAACTGCAATAATACAAAATTCATCAAAGAACTACAGGTTTTGACAAAATGTAACCAGAGACTCAAACGCATGAAATGATTATATCATAAATTCCTTACCATCATATGTGTGCTTTATAAACACTATTGTAACAGCCAAAGATAAACTTAATTTAACTTCAAATTAAAGTCAAGGGTCAAGAGGCAACTACAGCAAACACTATTCACCAAAACGGCAAGTTGAAAAAAAAACATCTAAACCTTAATTCTCAATAAAGAACTTCTGTTTTAGATACTCCAGAAATAAAGTCTAACTGGTTAGTAATGTGTGAAGTTGGTGTTGCTGTTTGTGGATAGGTCCTTTTTTCTGAGGTCAAAGGTCTCATGTGGGGGCCCCTGAAGAGCAAAAAAAAATTATTATATCTTCAAGAAATAGACTGTATTTTAATGTTGTTTTAACCCTTTCCCCAACTAAACTAAGAGAGAGTTAAAGAACCTTTAAAGAACTGTACAGGGGCTTACAGGTTTTACGGTAGTGGTACTATATAGCACCTCATAGACTCCAAAGAACCGCTGAAGAATCTTACAGGGGCTTAACAGGTTCTTTATACGGTAGTGGTACTAAATAACACCTTAACAACTTTTTTAGAGTGTACCTGCAAAGTTTAGTTACTACCCTAAACAAATAAACCTGAACCAACTAATTAAAAAAATTCAGGAACACTTGATAATCAAAAACCAGTGTGTTGGAGCAGGTTTAGAACTGAACTTTGGAGTAGGGTGGAACTCCAGGAACAGCATTGGGCACCCCGATGTACAGTATGTCTTCTCATAGTTAAACACAGTCAGTTAAAGTTCATATGTGCAGTCTTGCATTGTAAATGTATTCTAATAAGACTTGCCATTGTCTATTCACTAAAAATCAAGCAAAAAAAAACCTCATTGCTCTTTTCTGAATAACTTTAGCAGCTTTAATAAACCCTCTACAGCTTGATATTAGACCAGAATCAGGGTATCTTCCGTCCAATCAATTTTTGTTTTAATATTGAAATCTGAAAAATGAAAAACGGGCACATATTTCGTTTTTCAATTATTCAAACAAAACGAAAAATCAAGAGTCCGGCTTAATTTTTCGTTTTTACATTCAGGGATAGAAAACGAATAAACAACTTGAATATTCGATCTCTACATGTGGGCGGGAATGAAACGCCCCTCTCTGCTAATTGGTCAACCAAACATTACAACATAATAATAGTCCTAAAAAAACCTTAATAATAGTCCTCCGCTTCTATTGATTCTTAACATGTTTATTTCTACTACATTTGATCTCTTCATCAAACAGCCAGATTAATGAATGGCTTGACACAAACCATACTGAAGCAGAGCCTTTTGGCCCATGAATCAGTTTTTGAAAAACCCATTATTATAGACAACAATTCAATTACCAATTATTATAGACAGCCGCTTGATTTTATTCCTAAATGAATGAATTAAGCATTTTGAACCAATTGATTGAATAAAAGGATCCTTTATTAACACAATGACTTACAGCCACCTAGTGGCGATATTACTTTCATAATTCAAGTATTATTTAATTTTATTCATATTTCTATTAAAAATGTTGTATAAAACATTAATCTAATTTCATTATACATTTGTAAATGCACATACAGCCATCTTATCAGCATTAAACTGTAAATACATTTAAAAGCATCTTCAGACCCAGGTTCTATATCATTGAATACTGATTTGGTATGGATACTGAATTGGTAACAGCCTATTGTCGTATTATTCTAATTTATTTAATGTAAGAATTTAACATTAAAAATGACATAAAAAAGGTAAAAGGCAAAAAAATTAAATTAAATAATTAAATAAATAAAAAACTGAAAATCAGTTGCCCCTTATGTGAAAGTTAATTTCTGATACTGCTGACACTGGCTTATTGTTCGAAGTGTTATTTCAGGGTTTGGATATGTTCTTATAACTCAAACGAGTTCACCTTCAAATCATGACGTCAAATTCACATTTCACTAAAGTCAATCACTGAAACAAGCATTGTGAGGAACAAATAGTCCCATGCCAGTGGGATAATAACAGATGATTTCCTAAATTTGTATAAAGTGCTCTATGAATAAAACTCAAAATAGAAAAATAATAGATGTGCTGTGAAGGTAAATTACACAAAGTCATTTATTTTCATATCTGTAATATTATTTAAGTTCCTCCTTTGTCTAAACTGCAGCGTATTGTCTAAAACAAAAGTTATGACTGTATGTTCACATAAATTGATAGTGGTCAATACATTCTCCCCGTGCTGCAGTGCGTCGCAGCTTTTCCACACATATTTTAATAGGTGGATAACAATAATAAAACAGGCATGCCTAGGGCCAAAAGGCTCTGCTTCAGTATGGTTTGTGTCAAGCCATTCATTAATCTGGCTGTTTGATGAAGAGATCAAATGTAGTAGAAATAAACATGTTAAGAATCAATAGAAGCGGAGGACTATTATTAAGGTTTTTTTAGGACTATTATTATGTTGTAATATTTGGTTGACCAATTAGCAGAGAGGGGCGTTTCATTCCCGCCCACATGTAGAGATCGAATATTCAAGTTGTTTATTCGTTTTCTATCCCTGAATGTAAAAACGAAAAATTAAGCCGGATTCTTGATTTTTCGTTTTGTTTGAATAATTGAAAAACGAAATATGTGCCGTTTTTCATTTTTCAGATTTCAATATTAAAACAAAAATTGATTGGACGGAAGATACCCTGATTGACCAGTTTCAAGATTTCTTTGTTCTATTGCTTGTATTTCTTTCTTCTTCATTTTATTACTGACTGGTCCCTTTTAAAAGCAATGTTTGTAGCATATAACATATGCTACATGTTTGTGCTATGTAGTATAGCAGTGTTATCAGATTCTGTGTGCTTAAAACCGTGTTATCTCATTGTGTATGTACTTATTTTGCTTTGATAAGAAAGTGTTTGCACTTTCCTACAGAACCTAATTTTTTTGTCTCTATTTCTCTCTCCCTCTCTCATCTCCTCACAGTGAAGGTGAAGGCAAAATGCGCACCCACATTCTTTGCTTGTGCAAACGGGGTCCACTGCATTATTGGCCGCTTCCAGTGTAATGGTTTCAGAGACTGCCCGGATGGCAGCGATGAAGACAACTGCAGTGAGTATCCAATGTGCATCCAAGGCAACTGTTTGTTCTAATACATGCCATAACACTTTAGATTTCATATGAAGGAGGTTGCTATGGAAATTAAGGAGTATGGCAAGCCTTGCAGTGTCTCAATCACTAACTGCTGTGAGTGAGAAAATGCACAGTTGGGCAGCAGTCACCCGAAGCACAGAATGTTGTTTAGGTTCTGATATAGGTTATGAAGGAATAAATCACTCCGAGACTTGTTTTAAGAGAGGATTAACGCATCACCATTTGAAATGGCTTCACTTTAATAAAACAAACTCAAAAGTAATAAATCAAAATAACAGCGAGAAAGTATTGAGATGGGGTGTGAATGTATTACAAGCATTACATTATATAGTCTTTCATAAATTTGCATTAATACAAAAAGTCTCCTCCTTTCAAACTCCCATATAGAGAGACAACATGAGATAACATATAGAGATATAGATATCAGTGGTGAGCGGTGACTTTTTAACCAGGTATGCTGAGTGATAAGATTAAGACCCCCCCCACTCCTCATCGCTTTTAAGACAAACTCAAAGAGGAAAGCAGGTGTCGATTTAAAAGTATGCACTGTTGTGGCAAAAACAATTACTAACAAAATAGCATCACAG